TCACCTGACCTAGAGCTCAGATGCAACATCCCACCCAGGGGCACAGCCCAATCCACACCAAGACTCATCCTTACAGGACACTGGGGCCTGCTCTTGGCTGTCAGGTGTCTGCTGAGTGATGTAATGCAGTTGGTAGAGCACTTGAGCGTGCATGAGACATTGGGGTCAATCCGAGAACTGCAGAAGAACAGCGTGCATGAGACATTGGGTTCAATCCGAGAACTGCAGAGGAACAGGAGTGGTGGTGTGCACCTGCAATCCCAGCACTTGACAAGTGGAAGAAGGGTGGAGGCTCATTTGAAGGTTATGCTTCTTGAGTTCCAATCTAACCTGGGCTACATGAGACTGTTTTTTTTTTAAAGATTTATTTATTTATTATGTATACAACATTCCTTCCACGTATGCTTGCATGCCAGAAGAGGGCACCAAATCTCATTATAGATGGCTGTGAGCCATCATATGGTTTCTGGGAATTGAACTCAGGACCTTTGGAAGAGTAGTCAGAGCTCTTAACCACTGAGGCATCTCTCAAGCCCGAGACTCTGTTTTAAAAAAAGTGGCAGGCCGGGCGGTGGTGGCGCATGCCTTTAATCCCAGCACTCGGGAGGCAGAGGCAGGCGGATCTCTGTGAGTTCGAGACCAGCCTGGTCTACAGAGCTAGTTCCAGGACAGGCTCCAAAGCCACAGAGAAACCCTGTCTCGAAAAAAACCAAAAATAAATAAATAAATAAATAAATAAATAAATAAATAAATTAAAAAGGTGGCAGGGCCTGAGGTATATCTCAATAGAAGCTAGCGCTCTTGACTGGCACACAAGGCCCGGGATTTGATGTCCAGCAACACCTAATCAATTAACTAATTAATTGATTTAGTTTTAAAGGCTCTTTAAAAATACACTTATTGGGGGCTGGAGAGATGGCTCAGTGGTTAAGAGCACTGGCTGTTCTTCCAAAGGTCCTGAGTTTAATTCCTGACAACCACATGGTGAATCACAACTACCCGTAATGAGATCTGGCACCTTCTTCTGGCCTACAGGCAGATACTGCATATATAATAAATAAGTAAATCCTTTTAAAAAGTACACTTATTTTGATTCTATGTTCTTTGAGTGTTTGCATCAGTGCATCACATATATGCAGTACCTGAGGAGGCCAGAAGAGGGTACTGGATTCCCCTAGAACTGGAGTTACAGATGCTTGAGAGCTGCCATTGGGGACGAAATCTGGCTCCTTGCAAAATCAGACTGTGCCCTTAACCCTGGCCCATCTCTCCACCCCTTAATTTAAGAAAATAGTTTAAAAAGATTTTATATAAAAGGTACTGAGTGGGGGCTGCAAGACAGCTCAGCAAGAAAGTAAAAGCAGTTGCTATGTGTGTCTGATGTCCTGAATTTGGTCCCCAGAACCCATGGCAGAAGGAGAGAACAAATTCCTGAAACTTGTCCTTTTACCTCCATGTGCTGTGGCTCAGGCACACCTGTGCACACACATAGACAAATAAGAATGAAGAAAAAAATAGCAGAGGGTGCTGGGGACTGTAGCTCAATTAGTAGAGCACTTGGGTTTGAGCTGCCCTGCATAAAATCAATAGTGCTCTGAACACCTGTGATTCCAGCACTGGACAAGTGGAGGCAGGAGGATCAAAGGTTTAGGGTTGTCACACAACAAGTTCAAAACCAGCCTGGGCTGCATGAGACCCTGCCTCAACACCCTCACAAAACAACAAGAAAGCTTGGGGGCCCAAAGCCTCTCACTTGGGCTCTTGAGTCAAAGCTTGCCTCCTCCTGATGCCTGTCCCAACAGTCTGAGAAACAGAAACAGGCACCCAGGCCCCTTTCCTCAGGGGACTCAGATGGCCTCTGGGGGCTGGGGACAGAACCTTCCTGGCAGTTTGACCCTGGCACGACACTGCCCTTTCTGAGTACCTGTTTGGGGCAGATGTCCCCTAGGGTGTCACTAAGAAAGTCTGTATTTGTCTAAGGTACCAACTAGCTTCTTACTGACTTGGCCATGCTAGATGGCAGGATCCAACAGCTGCCGGGTGACCAGTCAAGGGCTCTCTGTTGACAGAAGACCTAACGTTGGTCAGCTCTACTCACCTGGATGCTAGTTCACCAGAAGCCGTCACACCCCACACCCGGTCTTGACCTTTGTCTAAGGGACCTGGACTCTTTGGACAGGAAGCCCTCAAAGGGATGACGGACACAGGGTTTTCTGTACCCTGTGCCAAGCCTCCTGGTTTCCTTCCCCACTTTTTTCCTCACTGCAGGGTCCTGTGTACTGGGCCATTCCTAACTTCCAGAGAACAGCTGGGCTTCTGGGTAAAGAGAGGAGTTGGGTGACTGGGTTAGAGCCTAGCTCATCAGCCCCTACCCTGGTCTTTTAAGTGCTCACCCTCCTCCTCTGCCCTTGGGGTTGTTCAGGCTGTCTGTCCTTTGCACTTGTTTCTTTTCCAGTGACACACGTTAGAATATTCTGTTTGAATCTGTGGGATGGTGGTGGAAGCACACAGTGTCTGGTACTTGGATAGCAAAAGGCCCTCCATGATCTTCGGGGATCCTTTCAAGATCCCCATAAGTGCCAGACCCCTACCCCTGTTCTCACTCTACCATCTACCAGCAGTGCTTCTGCTAACTAGGGCTCACTCCCTCCTGCCTCCCTGGCACTCAGTCTGGCATGCACAAGGTGCCTGAGCAGTACCAAATGTCAGCGAGGCCTGGAGCAGCATGGAGAGCAGAGCATGATGGGAATGGGGATCCCGGGCAGCTGCCATTCATTCCCTGTCCTAACTTCCACTTTCTGGAGCGGCCTCTTTCTTGATTTAGGCTTCACCTACTGGAAGCACAGACAGAGGCAGCCCAGGCCACCATGTGGCCAAGCAGCAGGGGAAGGACACCAGGGAGAGGTGGCACCCCTGGGAGTTCTTTCAGCCTGTCTTTGGCTAGTCAGCTGGGATGCCTTCAGCATGAATTCTCTACCTATTTTACCTGAGGGTCCCAGGCGCACCTGCCCCCGTTCACCTGGATTGCTCTCCTCTGAGGCAGGCAAGGCTGGCTCACTGCCGACCTATCTCTGTATTGTTCTCTTCTTACACAACTATCCTGGACCCTCCTGCTCTCCACACACCCTCAGAGCTGTGGGCAGAGATTGTAAATCTCATTTTTCCTCAGGGACCCTGAAGGGCAGGGTTCCGTGTACACTGGAGAAAGGGGCTTGTGGAATTCACAGTGAGAGGCAGGGGGTGGGTCCAGGATTTCTTGCTTCATGTCTTTATTTAATAAGATTTTTTACACTACTTTGCTCACTCCCTGTGTGTGCATTTGTGTATGAAAGCCAGAGGACAGTTTGAGGGACTCAGGTTCCCTTCCCCCACCATGCTAGTCCCAGGGATTAAACTCAAGCTATCAAGGTTGAGAGGGAGTTGCCTCTACCCACTGAGCTCTCTTGCCAGCCCGCTCTCTTTTGTTGTTGTTTATATTCATAATTTAATTTCTTTTTTTTTTTTTTTTGAGACAGGGTTTCTCTGTGTGGCTCTGGCTGCTCCTGGAACTCATTCTGTAAACCAGGCTGGCCTCAAACTCATAGAGATTCTGTTGCCTCTACCTCCCTGAGTCTTGGGATTAAAGGCATATGCCACCACTGTGCAGCTTAGATTTTAAAAAAAATTTAAATTTAGTTCATTTTGTGTGTTTGAGTGCATCGCCTGCATCATGTGCCTATGCACATGGATGCCTGGTGCCTGAGAAAGTCTGAAGAGGGCATCCCATGGGGTTGTGGATGGAAGCCACTCTGTGGATGCTGGCAAACCAGCCCTGCTTCTCTGAAAAAGCAACATTAACCCCTGAGCCTACTGGGCCAGTCCCAAGGGTTTTTTTTTTTAATAAGATTTATTTTTATTTTAATGTATATGTGTCTGAGTGTTCTGGGGGGAGGAGGGGTCAGGAGAGGGTGACATGTTCCCTGGAGATGGATGGATGGTTGTGATCCACCCAGCTGGAAGCAGGAACCAAATTTAGGTCCCCTGAAAGAACAGCAAGCACTCATAACTGCTGAGCCATCTCTCCTGGCCCCTTATTTTTTGCTATGAGGCTCTGGGTAGTCTTGAACTCGCTATAAAACCCAGACTGACCTAGATTGGGCGTTCTTGCCTCAGCCTTCTCATTGCGGGCTATACCTGCCTCAGACTCACACCAGGCCACAGAACTGCGGTTTTAGGCTGTCAGTCTTAATTTCAATTCTAAGTGGGCAGGCCTGCGTTTTCACTGGGAGCCAGCAGGCCTGCACGTAGTCTAGTTCTCCAACAGCTGGGGGTGTTTCCTTGAAGCACCCCTGCTCCCCATCCCACCCAGGACCCCTGTCCCCCACCTCAGCACCCTGCTCCCATCCCACACCAGTGGGGGACTCCTGGGGGTCTCTTGGCCAACCCTTCCCTCATGCCTGGGAACCTTGGAGGAGCAGCGTCCGCTTCCTGCTGTTATTAAACCTTTAAAGGCAGAGAGTAAATAAAACCGCGCACTGAAAGGGATGACTCAGCCACCCCCGCCGCCCCTGGCCTAGGTCTGTCAGTCCCCACATTCTCCAGACCAGCTTTGCTAGCCCCCCAGAGTTTCCTGCAGGTCGGGGGTTGTAGGGCTGGAATCCGAGGTGTCTGCTGCCCGGGGTTGGGGCACACAGGGCTCCAAGAAGGAGGCAGGCCTCTCTGTTCACATGGCTGAGCATTGCAGGGTGCTCCTTCCCCCTTTCGCACTGCCTAACTTGATAAAGGCCATTGTCCCATTTTACAGAAGGGAAAAGAAACTCAGAGAATTCCTTCGAGGCACAACTTCGGGGAGCATTATGGACAACAAAGCCCGTTGGGGCAGAGCCACTTCCCAAGAAGGTCTAGTGGGTGGCCTTTGGATGTGTGCCCAAACTGGGAGGAGACAGCTGCCAGGGCCGGGAAAAAACCCGTGGGTCCGTGACCTTCGTGAACCAGGAGCTCTGGGTCTCTCAGTGAGTGTGGTTCTGGGCTCCCTGGACCGGTCTAGGAGTCGGGAGCTCCCTGGGTCTTTTCGGCCTGTGAGCAGTGGCGCTCAGGGGCCGCTGCGGCACATTCCTAGGCAGGCGCGGCCGGCACCCGGGCCGGGAGGGGACTTCAGCAGGCAGCTGGACGTTGGAGCTGGAGGGGAGGCTTAGGGCGCCCATCAGAGAGGCGCAGAGTAGCCCCCACCCCCTCTAGCCTCCGATAAGCTGCAGCCCCAGGCAGTGGGTAAGGGGCAGCCCGGTGCGGCTGGTGGGGGGCAGCTCCGGGATCTCGCCTGGGCAGGAGAGTGCCCGGCTCCGGGGCGGGTCTAGGACGTGGGGCGGAGTCCTTATAAGGCCCATGCTGCGGCCGGCGGCAGAGCGAGCGCATTTGGTACATCCACATCCTTTACAATGGCTTCGAAAATCATAAAGGGCTCCGGAGAGATTCTTTGCGAAGGAGAGCTGGAGAAGCGAAGTGACAGCCTGTTCCAGCTGTGGAAGAAGAAGCGCGGCGTGCTCACCGAAGACCGCCTGAGCCTCTACTCCGGGAGCAGCGACCGAGTCAAAGAGCTGCGCTTCAGCACCATCCTCAAGGTGGACTGCGTGGAGCACACCAACAAGTACGTGTACTTCACCATCGTCACCACCAACTTCAAGGAGATCGACTTCCGCTGCACCGGCAAGAGCTCCTGGAACGCGTTCATCACCCTGGCGCTGATCGACTACCAGAACCGCCGGGCGGTGGAAGGCTTCCGCCGCCACCGTTTTCAGCGCGTCGCGTCGGAAGAGCAGCCGGAATCCGAAGAGCAGCGCGCCCTGAGTCCGTGGTGAGTGCCGCCCTCGTCCGCGCTGTCCGTGTACGGGGGTATGGGGGTGTGTGGATGCGGGTCATGCTGCCCAATGGGGGGAAAACTTCAATTTCAAAAGCTACGGGACGGGGGACGACGACGACGACTACGACGAGGACTCGGGGATTCTAATTCTTGAAGACGCCTAGGAGAGGGGACCTGGGACGGAAAGCAGGTCTCTCGCCCCACTTGGAGGCTTATAGGATGCACCCGGATCTGCTCTAGGACAGCTACTGACTCAGTCTTCTCCCCACAGAGACACACGGGACCAGTCGAGCCGGGAACCAGCCCACGCGGCCGCGTCAAACAGGATCCCAGGAGCCCAGCAGATGCCCCGGGCGACGCCGCTGCTCCTCTCCGAAGATTTTCCCGTACTTGCTGAGCCTCGCCCCGCTGTGCGGGGCGTGCTAACTTATTGGACAATATTTATTTTGATGGTCGTCAGCTGTCAATCCACCGTCTTAATATTTCCGCCTTAATATTTTTTTATACTGTATTTTCACTCCAAATAAACAATGCCATTTCTCTTTTTTAACTTGCGTGGTCCGCGTAGTTCCTGCTGGGGCGGGGGTTTGGAAGGGCGGGAGGATGAAAGGGTCTCCCGTCCCGTGTCGTTCCTTCTACACATCCCAGGAACCATTCAAACTGCTTTTGAATGAACTGTCACCTGCCAAGTGGGGTTCACAGCCTCTCCAGGTCAGGAAGTACTCTGGGTGTGGCCTGGCTACCTTTTGCTCCTGGGTGTGGCTTGGGGAGGATAGGGCTGGTGGCCATGCTTGCTCAGAGTTCACTCACTAACTGGCACGGGGACACCTGAGGAGTCGCTCTGTTCACCAGGGTGGCTGCCCTCATTGTCCCCTCCCACCCACATACCATCTGTCCAGCAGCTGATGTGAAGGACTGATGGTTGACAGTTTGACAACCGCCCCCCATCACTGGACCACAGAGCTTGAGAGCCCAGCTCCCAGCCCTCCTGGCCAGTGTCTAGCAACAGGGCTAACACACTGTGTACATCTTTTTGTCTCCAGCGATGGAGCAGCGGGGGCCCAGAGCTGCCTTACTGGTGTGAAGCCTGGGAGCTCACCAGATACCTACGCTTTTACTCCATTTCCTGAGCCATCTGCCAGGTGTCAACTCACACTCCTCACCTGGCTGTGTTCTCTGTGAGGGGCTCAAAATCTGTGTCAGGTAGGCTCACAGGCAGGCAGGCAGGCCACAGAGCCTGAGACAGACGGGGATTCCTCCCAAAGGTTTTACTGGAGGACAAGCCCAGAAAGGCACAAGGCTACACTAGGCAGAGTGACAGACACTGAGTCCCTGCCCAAGGGGTCCTGGGCCTCTCTGGCTGTGGGAATGCCATAAAAATGGAGGTGTCACATGTCTCCCAGCTTAGCCTTGGAAGTCAGGACTGGGAGGGGCTCCCCTTTCTCTTTAGGAAGTCTTGGGTGCTAGAGCTGTTTTTCCTTACAAGGAATTTTCTCTTAAAGAACACAGGGGAGGAGCTTTTCTAGGAGAAGTGATCAGCAGGTCCCTTCTGTCCCATTCCTTTAAGGACCTCCTCCCTCCACTGATCCTCACATGGTCAAATGACACAGCTCAGGGGTTGAGCCCCCTGTTCCTGGTAGGGTTCAAATGGACACAGTGTCCTAAGGTGTTAGGCGGAGTGTGGGCAGACTGTGGAATTCTGAGGTTTAAGGATTCTAAGGTTTGTTTGGTTGGTTGTGTTTTTGTTTTGGAGTTTTGTTTACTTGTTTTGAGACAGGGTTTCCCTGTGCATCCCTGGCTGGGCTGGAATTCACTCTGTAGAACAGGCTGGCCTTGAACTTCACCTGCTGGGATTAAAGGGCCTGCACCACCATGCCCAGCAGAGCTGAAGTTTTATGTCTTTCCTCTGCACGTATGTATGTGTGCCACAAGTGTGCCTGGAGCCCATGGAAGCCAGAAAAGAACATCAGAGCCCTTGGAACTAGAGTGGCAGATGGTTGATAACCTTCACGTGGATGCAATGAATTGAGGGGGTCCCCTGCAAGGGCAGCAAGTGTTCCTAAGTGCTGAGCCATCTCTTCAGCCAAGAGTCTAAGTTTTAACAGCTTCTTTCAAAGAAGTTCGCTGCTTGGTTTCAGTAGGGGAACCTGGTTCCTGTCATCGGTGAGGTCTGTGGGGAGATGGGCCAGGCCAGTGTCCCTGGTGCAGCTTTAAAGCAGGGGAGGCTGGGGTATGTTCTTGGTTCCCAGCTGTTCCCTCCCAAGCCTAATTCCCTTTGTCTTCCTCCTCCTCCTTTTACAGACAAGGTCTCACGATGTAGCCCTAGATTGCCTGGAACTAGTTACTCAGTGTATAGACCAGGCTGACCTTCAACTCAGATCTGTCTGCCTCTGCCTCCTGAATGCTAGATGGATTAAAGACATGCACCACCAAAACTGGTTCCTGTCTTTTAAACCAACCTGCTTCAGGTCCCAGCACAAGGTGCGTCAGGCGATGGGGAGCACCCTGTGTCTGGGCTGTTTCTGGAGGACTCCTTGGTGGTTGTGTTAGTGGACACAGGAGCTGTATTAATGACCTGGAACTGACTCGGGAAGTTTGTGCTCCCCAGAGCTGTGGGTCCAGCTCTAGTTCCTCCTCCAGAGAGCCCCCTGGCTTGGCTCCATCCTGGACCCCCAGACTTTCTACCCACAGATCTAGGCAAAGCCCAAAGAACTCAGGAGGAAGAAGTCCAGAAGTTTATTATTGCCTGGCTGGGTCAGGTCACTGGTCTCTGTGGTCACCGGGTTTTGTCTTTCTTCTGGGACAATGGCTTCCTCCAGAGGACCAATAGGACAAGCAAATTCACCATGAGCTGCACGTGGCCAAAGATGGAGACACCATAGCTGCGGTACATCAGGCCCCCCAGGGTGGGTCCTACGGTGCGAGTTAGTGGATGCACGGATGCAGAGAGGCCCAGCATGGTCCCTGGGAGAAAGGGGGACTAGTCAGATCCTGGGTAGGTCTCTGGACAGGCTGCCTACCTCTGGCCATAGCCCAGCCTTCTGCCCATTGTTCATGGATGGCTTGCAGCATTCCCCCCCCCCCCAATTAAGCACAATACCCTCCACCCACAGGGTCAGTTTCCCTGTGTAGATGGGACTGAGCCTCTTTTCTAGAAATTTCCCAGGCAAGGGAGGACCCTGGGAAAGAGGTCACAGGTCAGGAATAGGCTACACTGTCCCAGACCTGTGAGTGTAGAAGTGATCTGCTTGCGCTGGGCTCCACCCAGGACATCCAGGGTGCTGGACTCCTCGCTCTCCCCAAATGGTGACTGAGATAGCTAGTGTGGATTTGACCAGGGAGGATCTGGTATCCCAGCCACATGTAGGGCTGTAGGGCTGGCATTCTGGTGGGGCATGGTGTCCCTAGTGCCTCTTATATGGCCCTTTCTCTTCTGTTTCTCCACCATCCTCCTGTAGGTTCAATGGATCTCAGAGGTCAGGGCCAGGGCTCTAGGGGCTACCAGTGTCCTTGCCTGATTATGTGAGCCCCTATTTCCACGTCTCTGGTCAGTTGTCTTACTGCGGACATGCCTGCATAGGACCTTGTTAAAAATGACTTCAAGTGGAGAACCCCCTGCCATCCCCAGGTGGGAGTCATACTTTGTCCCATTCTCCTCCAGAAAGCGACCGACTGACCGAGCTTTGCTACTCACTGGCCAGGGTCTTCTGAGACCAGGCTTTTAAAAAACTGGGCCAAGATAGGGGCCTGCAGGCCCCGCCCACACCCAGGGCCAGCTGAGGGGAAACTCAGGCGAAGCCTCTCTCTCTCCCTGCCCACACGCCTGCAGACACTAACTGACACTGGGCAATTACCGCCCCCTCTGCAGGCTCCTGTTCCCAGGCAAACCAGGCTCTGCTCTTTCCAAGCTCAGGGGTGGTACACAAGCATGACTCGGCCTTGGTGGCTGGGCCTGCTCCTCCTGGCCAGCCCCACCCTCCACTTGCATGGCCTTAACACCCCTTTTCCTCCTTCCAGAGTGACTTCCTGGCCCAGCCCTTTGGAGCTGCTGTCCTGGCAGCAGGGAGTGAGCACCCTAGACAGGCTTGGAGGCCAGGCTCAGCTTTCCCTAGCTGCGTGGATTCAAAGCCTCCATTCAGAAAGCTCTGAGCACTGTTGTCAAGGACGGGGAAAGTCTCCTGTGCTGTTCTTCTCTGGCCTCTTCACTACTCCAGCCACCAGCTGTCTTTCTAAGTGGCTCTCTAAGCCCTTCAAGGTCCACATCTTTGCTCCTCTGGCCTCTGCCTAGACAAAGTCTCTGGTCCCTCCTCTAATTTTTAGTGAAATTCTGGCCCGGATCAGAGTTGAGTCAAATGCCTCTTCCAGGAAGTCCTCCACTTGTGCCCTTGCCTGACTCTGTGCTTGTCAGAAGGGTTAGGAAGGGGCGGGGTCTTTACTTGGGCTCTTCTTCCTCGTCACTTGCCCCTTCTCTGGCCCAGGCCACTGGGAGGAACTCTGACTCCTGGGGCCCCTGTGTACAGCTCACCTGTGTCTGAAGCGGACACAGCCTTGGTCAACATGCTGTCGGTGACCACGTTGAGGGTACAGAGACTGAATACCAGGCCGGGCACCAGAAGACAGAAGTGGAGAACATTGGACATCAGCGCCTGGCAGGGCAATGGGCAGGGCTATGCTGAGCAGAGAAGTTCCAAAGCCAGATGGCAACCCACCCTGAGGTCCCACCCATAACGCTCCACCATGGAAGATGCCTTAGTTGGGGAGGAGAGAGTGCAATGTGGCCTGAGGCAGGCCAGGGACTTGGGCACACACAAGACATGGATGGAGGATGGCCTGAGACCCGCTCACAGAGCAGGCGTGTGTGTGTGTGTGTGTGTGTGTGTGTGTGTGTGTGTGCGCGTGTGCGCGCGCATGTGCTCACCATGCCCAGTCCCACAACAGCATAGACCAGCACACTGGATTGCAGCAGGGCTTCTTCCTGGAAACGGGTGCTCAGTCTCCCAACGACCAGGCCTTGGATCACCTAGGAAGGGCGGCAAGGGGGCGGAGAAGACAGTCTAGACCAGTTTTTCTCAACATGTGGGTTGAAACCTTTTTGGGGTCAAATGACCTTTTCACAGGGGTTGCCTAAGGTCATCAGAAAACACAGATATTTATGATTCACAATAGTAACAAAATTACAGTTATAAAGTAGCAACAAAAATATTGTAGCTATGGAGGTCACAGAAACGAGAAACTGTACTTTTTTGTTTGTTTTTTGTCTTTTGTCTTTTGGATTGTTTTGTTTTTGGAGACAAGGTTCATCTGTGTGGCCCTGGCTGTCCTGTCCTGGAACTAGCTCTGTAGACCAGGTTGGTCTCGAACTCACAGAGATCCGCCTGCCTCTGCCTCCCGAGTGCTGGGATTAAAGGCATGCGCCACCATTGCCCGGCAAGAAGGCATTCTAAAGAGACACTTGTGAGCCTCTCTCTGGCCATCAGAATTTTGAAACAATGGACTCAAGACCTTGGAATT